CCGCAACCGCCAGCAGCAGCACCAGCAGCACCAGCCGCAGCAGCGGAAGCACCAGCACCAGCACCACCACCGCCACGGCCGCTGCGAGCGCCCCCACCACCGCGACCACCCCCGCCACGGCCACGGCCATGGCCACTGCCAACCACCAACACCCACCAGTATGTCTACACTATGGAGTTAGTAGAGATTTACATATAGGGACTAATGGAAAAGAAAATGGAAACTACTACATAGCATACTATATTGGGGATAGTATAGGGAACAATGGAAGAGAAAATGGATATACAGTATATTATATTGGGGATTCTATTGCAATATTATGTGACCCCACAGCCTTAACCTTGGCTCACAAACTGTGAAGCAGCAATCCTCCTGCCTGGTTGCGTCGGGGAGTCTTGATCTGCTTCCACCTTTCCGAGTTTCGGGATATTATAGGGTTATATAGGGATCATATAGAGACATGTAGAGTTTAGAGATTAGGGATTAGGGTTTAGGGCTTGGGGCTCATTGGGATTAGGGTTCACACTGTCCAGGCTGCAACTTCGAAATATCCCAAAATAAATGAGCATCAAATGGAAGTGAAAATGTAGCCTGACATGGAAACTGGGATTACATAATTAGGGCTTGTAGAGAGTGATGCGCTTAGGGTTTAGGAGAGTTTCAAAACAAGGGGGGGGAGGGGGGGCGCTTAGGGGACACTCTACCCTAAACCAAGGGATTATAGGGGATCCATGGGGCCCCCGTTCACGCATATATCAGGATTCTGTTAATGGGTTATATCCCAAAAGCCTATACAATCCCTACAGAAATATTGTAGTGTCCGCCTTCTTTCCCATTCCGCTTTGTACCTCCATATTTTACCCCCCAAAACTATTGGGGTTATATGGGGAAGAGCGTAGGGTGCTCTCCTATTCCTGGGTATGCTTGGAGCCCAGGGTATCAGATGCGAGGATATAGTTCCCCCAAGCAACACTTACGACCCCATTATAGTCAAATGATGCCTATCGGGACAACTAACATCTCTTTATTACTGGGTTGCCTTTGAGGAAGTTTGGCTAAGTTACTATAATAAGGAAATTCTAGAGTTAGGGCATGCCCATAAAATGGTGACTTGATTCAAAACTGAATTCCTACAGCAACCCAAATTAGTTTGGAGTTTTGGCTTGAAGCTGGTTAAAGATTTTGACCAGGGAGGGAGTCCTGGAGATCAGGAGGAACGACATTAAACATTATCATCATCATAACCATCATCATCCTCAAGCCCTAAACTCTAAAGCAGCATCATGACCATGATAATAAATATCATGGCAATGCCTAAGCCCGCACAAGCCCTAAATGGCCTTACATCCTGAACCCCACGCTATGGCATAGCTTTCAGAGTCCAATCCTTCTCCGAAAAATCCTGAAAGAACTTCAAGAGAGCTACTTGGCAAGCCAGCGATCAGAACAAAACCCTAAACCATAAACCCTAAATCCACGAATTTTCTACCACTCGAGGGTACAGATGCCCAGCATTTGAAGTACCTAGGCTTCGAACGTAGGTCCTTACCCAAAAGCTCTTAAGCACATATATAGGGAATACATGTCCAAACTTTAAGGTAACCTCCTACTACAGAAACCATACTTTGTACTATGGAGGTAATTTGGACCCTTTGGGTTAGGCTGGTAGCTGGGGGACCTCAGGCTTGCCAAGTGTGAGGGATCTGCAACATTGCCTTTATAGAGCCCGACGTTGGGACCCCCATAATCCTTCAGTAGTCCACAATTTCCTAGGGTTCCTAAGGGTCCCTTTTTGAAAGCCCTGCATGCTGGGCAGGTACCAATTCTGCGGTTTCAACAACGGCTTCTGGCATGCACAAATGAAGTAAGATTTGATGCCTGCTTCAGTGATCAGTCTCAAGGAACCCTAAACCCTAAACCCAAGCCCCTAAATAATCTCGTGCTGACAATTGAATATCTCAGGGCTGAGGACGCAGGAATCTTTCTGAGTACGGAGATGATTGACCTAGATCTAAGTCTTAAGCTCGTATATAGTAGTATAAGAGTATGCTATGATATATCATAATATGCTAAAGTATACTATAGTATACGGAAATGTATTATGTAGTATGTATCTGAATTAAGCAACGCACCCCTCACAAAGAATCTTGTACCTGATTTCTTGTACCTTTACCTTTATTCCAAAGCTTAGGCAGAAACATGCAAGGTTGCGACTGCCAAGATGGAACATGCTCTGATGTTCGCTGTTATTGCTGACGCATTGACCAAATGGGAGTTTTCGAGTAAAGCCCAAACCCTTCACCACAGGTCGCCCCCCTGGACCTCTGGCACCTTGGTGGTGGTAGAGACCTTCCAGGCGCACCCAGAGACCTCCCGGGGCCTTCCCGGCACTTCCCAAGGGCCTCCTGGCAGCTCCGGCCCATTTTTCTTGGTTATGGGGGCAGCAGGAGAAATGTGCCGTCGCAAGA